CACCGCCAGCTTGGGGTCCTGGGGGGTGTATGGGGAGGGGGGCAGGAACAGCTGGCCAGATAGAGGAGGAATAGGGAGAGATCAGAAGGAAGACAACCTGGGCTTGAAATTGCCTCAAATAGAACAATGCCGGCATTCAGCTAACCCAAGCCCATGTTCAGAGTGTGGGTACACTGTGTGCTCATGGGTGAAGACCCAGATATCCTTGCTGTCCTGGTGCTCCACAGGGCCTGGAAAGTGGCTGAAGAAGGACTGGAGTCCCCCATTCCCCATCTCTTAATGCCATTGTTTGTACCTTTGATGAAATGGGAGGCTGGAGCCTTGTGCCTGAGCTTGCACCGAAGGAAGCACGACCCAGGAGCTATCCAAGGTTGTTGCTGTCCCTCAGTCGCTGTCCCCAGCATGGCCTTGAGGTGGTCTCTCCCACTCCATGTGCCAGCCCTTACCCCATTATCACCCCTAGACAAAGTTCCTCAGCCAGGCTCCTGCTAGAGGCCTGGGATCCATCTGTGACCAGGTGGAAGACTAGGAATCTCCTGGGTCACCTGAAGGGCTGGTGGTCTCGGAGCACTACAGGGGAAGGGAGCATGCAGAGGAGATTCTGGGGCCCTGTAGAACATCCCCATGCCCATGGGTGCCCTCAGGCAGGGTCCCTGACTTCAACAGCCCAGCTTGTTGTTGCTTGAACAAACAGAAGACCCTGCCTCAGGAGGGTTGTTCCAGCCTCAGACCCTTATACCAGCCATTTCTAGCACTGGCCATTCACCATGATCTTGGTAAAAAAGTGCTTTCTTGGGTTTCAGTGGAAATTCCTGTGTTTCAGTTTGTATCCATTGCCTCTTGTCCTGTCCCTGGGCACCACTAAGTATGGTCTGGCTCTGCCTTCTTTAATGCCTCCCATTTAGTGTTAAAAGACTGATGGGATCCCCCCTGAGCCTTCTTTTCTCCAGCCTGAACAGTCCCAGCTCTCTCAGCCTTTCTTCAGCATGACAGATGCTCCAGTCCCTTCATCATCATTGTGGCCCTTCATTGGACTTGCTCTAGTACATCAAGAATTTTCTTGTACTGGGGAGCCCAGAATTGGACACAGAACTCCAGAAGGGGCTTCACCACTTACTGACACCAGTGCTGAGTAGAGGAAGGATCACTTCCCCCCACCTGCTAACAACGCTCTTCCGAATGGATCATTGTCACAAGGGCACATTGTTGGCTCATGTTCAGCTTGCTGTACACCAGGACTCCCAGCTCCTTTTCAGCAAAGCTGTTTTCCAGCTAGTTGGATTCCAGCATGTCCTGGTGCAGGGGTTTAGTCCTCTTCAGGGTTAGGACTTTGCATTTTCCCTCAGCCCAGTAATCCAGCCTGTCAAGGTCCCCCTTAATGGCCATGCAAACATGCGGTGTATTAATCAGTCCTCCCAGTTTTCTGTCATCTCTGAACCTGCTGAGTGTACACTTAGCCCCATGCTCTAGGTCACAGAATGAAGTGGTTAAATACTGTTGGACCCAGTATAACCTGCAAGGATATGCCTCTATCCCATGAAGAACTCCATGGGCTTCTTGTCTAGTCTGTCTAAATGTTCCCTAACCTGATCCTCTTCCACCGAGGGCAAGTCTTCCTTGCTCTGAACTTTCCCTCTCATCTCAGAGGACTGGGGTTCCTGAAGGCTTCTAACAAGCAAGGAGTGAGGTGAAAAAGGCATTGAGTCCCTCAACCTCCTCCGTATCTTTTGGCACCAGGACTCCTGCCCCATTCTCTATGTTCATCCTGTTCTCCATGTTTCCCCTTGCCTTCCTTTTGCCGCTGATGTACTTGGAGAATCCTTTCTTGTTGCCCTTCATGCCCCTTCCCAGATTCAACTCCAGGTGGGCTCTGGCTTTCCCAACCCCATGTCTTAATGTTTGGGAAGTTACCATCTCTGTCGTCCAGAAGTCTTCTAGATAGCTTGTGCCCTGCTGTTTCCCCTCTGGCAGATATCAGGGGTTTTCAAGTTCTCCATGAGGAGCAGGGCCCTTGAACATCTGAAGAAGGCCTCATCTAATTCTTCCTGACTATTCCTGATTCCCTATAGCAGACACCCACTGCAATGTCAACCATGTTGCTCTGCCCACTAATCCATTGGTTTTCAGCTGAGTCAATCGCTTCTCTCCAGGCTGAACTCCATGCATTATCACTGCTCTCTTGCATCAAGGGCAGCTTCTCCTCCTTGCCCTCTCGGCCTGTCCTTCTAAAGAGCCTGTATCCGTCTATTGCAGCACTCCGGTTGTGTGAGCTAACTACCACAACTCTGTTATCCAAATGACATTGTGGCTGTGTAACTTCCACAGACTTCTAATTCCTCTTGTGTTTTCTCACTGTGTGTGAATTACTGGGCAAGCCCTCAAAAGAGAGGTCCAGGCATGCTGATTTCTCAGAAGGGGCATGAGTGCATTTCCATCATGCTGTCCTGTAGTGTCTTTCTTATTTATGT